TCTGTAACCTATCATTTAAATCAGCTTCTGTACCAGGTGACTGGAGGATAGCTAATGTGACGCCAATTTTTAAAGAGGGCTCTAGAGGCGATCCCAGCAATTACAGGTCAGTAAGCCTCACTTCAGTACCGGACAAACCGGTTGAAACTATAGTAGAGAACAAAATTGTCAGACATAGATGAACGTAATTTGTTGGAGAAGACAACATGGTTTTTGTAAATGGAAATCATGCCTCACCAATCTACTAGAATTCTTTGAGGGGGTCAACAAGCATGTTGTCAAGAGGGATCCAGTGGATATAGTGTACTTAGATATTCAGAAAGCCTTTGACAAGGTCCCTCACCAAAGGCTCTTAGGCGAAGTAAGCTGTCATGGGATAAGCGGGAAGGTTCTCTCATGGATCGGTAACTGGTTTAAAGGTAGGAAACAAAGGATGGAGAGAGGTAAATAGTGGTGTCCCCCAGGGGTCTGTACTGGGCCCAGTCCTATTTAACATATTCATAAATGATCTGGAAAAAGGAGTAAACAGTTAGGTGGCAAAATTTGCAGATGATACAAAACTTCTCAAGATAGATAAGTCCCAGGCAGACTATGAAGAGCTACAAAAGGATCGCTCAAAATTGGGTGAGTGGGCAGCAAAATGGCAGATGAAATTCAATGTTGATAAATGCAAAGTAATGCACATTGGAAAACATAATCATGTCTATACATATAAAATGATGAGGTCTAAATTACCACTCAAGAAAGAGACTCTCATGCGACAGGGGATGGATGACTTGATGATTAACTGTTCTGTTCATTTCCTCTGGGGCACCTGGCATTGGCCACTGTCGGAAGATAGGATACTAGGCTAGATGGACCTTTGGTCCGACCCAGTGTGGCCGTTCTTATGTTCTTAAAGTGATTTTTGACACAGTCCCACAGGACACTCTCTTAAGTAAACTAGGGAATTGTGGCCTAGATGAGATTACTATAAGGTGGATGCACAGCTGGTTGAAAGAACATACTCAAAGAGTAGTTATCAATGGTTTGCTATTAAACTAGTAGGAGGGGCACATATAGTGGGCTCCTGCAAGGGTCAGTTGTTAGTCTGGTATTATGCAATATTTTCATTAATGAATTGGATAATGGAGCAGAGAGTATGTATATAAAATTTCAGATGCCACCAAGCTGGGAGGGGTTGCCAGCACTTTGGAGGACAGGATTAGAATTCAAAATGACCTTGACAAAGTGGTGAGTTGGTCTGAAATCAACAAGATGAAATTTAATAAAGATAAGTGCAAAGTACTGCACTTAGGAAAGAAAAATCAAATGTACAGCTACAAAGTGGGGAATAATTGGCAAGGTGGTTGTACTGCTGGAAAGGATTTGGGGGTTAGAGTGGATCACAAATTGAATGTGAGTCAATGGTGTGATGCTGTTGTGAAAAGGCTGATATCATTGTGGGGTGTCATAAGACATGGGAGGTAATTGTTCCATTCCACTCAGCACTGGTGAGGCATCAGCTGGAGTACTGTGTCCAGTTCTGGGTGCTGCACTTCAGGAAAGATGTGGAGAAATTGGAGGGAGTCCAGAGGAGAACAACAAAAATGAGAAATGGTTTAGAAAACCTGACCTAAGAGGAAAAGTTAAAAAAAGAACTGGGGTGGTTGAGTCTTGAGGAAAGACAACGGAGGGGGGACCTGATAACAGTCACCAAATCTGCTAAGGGCTCTTATAAAGAGGACGGGGTTCAATGTTCACCCCAAGTAGGACAAAAAGTGATGATCTTAATCTGCTGCAAGGGAGATTCAGGTTAGATATTAGGAAAAACGTTCTCAGTATAACAGTAGTTAAACGCTGGAACAGGCTTCCAAGGGGGGTTGTGAAATCCCCGTCACTGGAGGTTTTTAAGAGCAGGTTGGATAAACCCATGTCAGGGATGGTCTAGGTTTACTTGGCCCTGCCTCAGCATAGGTTGCTGGACTAGATGTCTTCTCAAGGTCCCTGCCAGCCTGATATTTCTATGACTCTCATGCTTTTTCTGGCCCAAATAATATTAAATTATTCAATTAAACTGGAACAACTTCAACAGGAGAAATTGAGGGAGAATAGCCCCTAGCCCTCATTGAAAGGTGGCAGGTCCCTGTTCAGATCCCTTCTCCCTGAGGAGGGACATGACCCAAGCATCTCCCACAGCCCGAGCGAGTACCTGAACCACTGGGCTAAAGTCTATAGGGTGGACCTCTCTTTTTTCTCCTCCTCCATCTGTTTTGTGTGAGCCAGGCAGCCTCTGAACACGCCTGCCAGACTGAGCCCTGCATGCGAGTTAGGCAGAGGAAAGACTTTCTTTCCCCAGTTTGTGGATCACATTCTAGGGCACCTGGCTCTCCCTGTTCACTGTATAGGGAGCCTAAAGCAGCAGATTCAGCCTTCCTTACTTCCTTTAAATGAAAGCTGAGAATCTCACTTAGTCACATGATTCCAGGAGCAGGGGCTTTAAGAAAACCTGTACATATCACTGGACTTGCAATACAATTACAAGAGTTGGCCATGCTGAAAAAGCCATTTGTTTTCACTGAAATTAAGAATAAAACAAAAATCTATTCCTAGTCAGAATTATGTTTCCTAAGAGCCCTTTTCTATTACATCAAAATGTTGGGCCTGAATTAACAGGGACAGTCTCAACTTAAAAAACATGCTCCACCTGAAAATGTTGTGCCCACTGTGCTTACAAGTCACATCCGGTCTCCAAACTCTCCTTTGCTGAGATGCTTACAAGAGCTTGGCAGCGGTTAGGCAACTAGGACCACAACCCAAGGTGCTGGCCAGTATTGTCTTATCCATCTGTTGTCTCTTGTCTCACTCTTGCACTGTGAGCAGGGCCATCCTTACCCATACGCAAACTACACAGCTGCGTGCTGCTCCAGCAGCCAGCCTGATCCCCCGGCCAGCTGAGCCGGCCAGGAAAGCTGCCCCCACCCCTGTTCTACCCCTTCCCCCAAACCCCTGCTCCACCCCAGCCCTGCCCCCCACTCCACCCCTTCCCCTGAGCTACATCCTGGGGGACTGCAGAAGGGATCAGGCCTGCCCTGCAATCATTGGGCGGTGGGAAGTGGGGCTGCGTAGGGCACCAAAATGTCTAGGGATGGCCTTGACTGTGAGCTCTGAGGAGCAGGGGCCATCTCTTTGTTCTGCGTTTGTGCAGCACTAGGGCCATGGGGTCCTGGCCAGGTGCTGTCACAATACCAGTATTAAATCACTAGAATTCCTGCTGGGTCAGATTTTCAAAAGAGCCCCAGGCTTAGCCCTTACAGCTGGGGCCAGATGTTCCCGAGACCTCAGCTCCCATTGGATAAGGTCTGTATTTGCACAAGCGCTTTGCTTCCAGCAGCCCCCATTCTGACACTTATGGCTGCGTTGGCAAAAGTGCCCTGCAGCCAGCGTGCTGAGTCCCTGAGCACCCTAAATGGGAACAGCTCTTTGGAAAACATGTCCCCTTTGTGGATAGTCGGTTCCCCACTTTCTCTTTCACTGCTTCTCCTGGGTGCCCTCAGTAAGTCAAGTATCAGAGGGGTAGCCGTGTTAGTCTGGATCTGTAAAAAGCAACAGAGGGTCCTATGGCACCTTTAAGACTAACAGATGTATTGGAGCATAAGCTTTCGTGGGTGAAATGCATCTGATGAAGTGGGCATTCACCCACAAAAGCTTATGCTCCAATACATCTGTTAGTCTTAAAGGTGCCCCAGGACTCTCTGTTGCTCAGTAAGTCAGTCCACCCATCCCCCCAGTCTGCAAGAATCTTTTGACAGTGTCAGGGGAGAGAATCATTTTTTTTAAACAATAGGGAAATGTGATTGTAAAAAGGGGATGGAGGCAGACACACCTAAGCCTCCCGTTTTAGAACTGACTAGATTTCAAGCCGACTGTGTCCCTTGGAGGGGAAAAAAATCTCATGAACAGGGTTTGCAGTAGCAGTATGATTCCTACCGTGGATCCTGGGGCAAAGTGTCCCATGGGAGGTGGGAGGCAGGCCGAGGCAGCTCTCAGGAGTGGTGTGTGGTGAAGGGGAAGCTGAGATTGAATGGCAGTGAAGGTGCTGTTAAATATCCGTTCTTTCCACAGGCAAGCGACTGGGGGGGAGGGGGAAGGGCAGCGGTGCTGGGTGCTGTAGGGAGGAGAGACTGAGTCAAGTGTGGGGCGAGGTGCCAGGGGCTGCAGTCCCGGCTCTGTTGCTGACCTCAGGTGACCAGCTCCCCGGCTGTAATACTGACCGGCCTCGCAGAGTGACTGTGCAGTGCCATGAAGGCGCTGGGGGCAGTGTCAGTGCCTGGCAGAGCCAGAGAGCAGGGCTGGCTGCTAGAGTGAGGGAGTAATGGTCAGAGCAGGGAGGTGCGTGGGGAGCCCAGGGCTGGAGAAGGGGTCTCAGCAAACCTGTAGAGATGATTCATAGATTCACGGTGATCGTCGAGTCCTGGGGCAGAGCTTTCAGAAACCAGCCAGTCTGCAGTGCACTTCTAATTCACAATGAGAGAGATGAGCCCTGAAAGGAGAGTGGAAGGGCTGCACTTATGGAGCAAGGGGCACTGGCAGAGCTGGGCGTCGGGAGCTCAGGGCCAGGCGGGCCGTGGGTGAGGAATGGGGGGCACTGGCAGAGCTGGGCGTGGGGAGCTCAGGGCCAGGCGGGCCGTGGGAGAGGCATGGGGGGCACTGGCAGAGCTGGGCGTGGGGAGCTCAGGGCCGGGCGGGCCGTGGGAGAGGCATGGGGGGCGCTGGCAGAGCTGGGCGTGGGGAGCTCGGGGCCGGGTGGGCTGTGCGTGAGGAATGGGGGGCACTGGCAGAGCTGGGCGTGGGGAGCTCAGGGCCGGGCGGGCTGTGGGTGAGGAATGGGGGGCACTGGCAGAGCTGAGGGGAAAGCTAGCCTTGCTGGGAATCCTGCCGCTAACCAGCGTACGGGTGGAGCTGTCTGGGAAGTAGTGGGGGTGGTGTGTGACTCTTCTCTGCTTGTCTGTCCTGTGCAGTCCTCTGCCAAGAGCCTGCGAGCCACCATCGGGGAGGCCTTTGAGCGGCTGCACCGGCTCCTGCGCGAGCGCCAAAAGGCCATGCTGGAGGAGCTGGAGGCTGACACCGCCAGGACTCTGACCGACATCGAGCAGAAGATCCAGCGCTACAGCCAGCAGCTGCGCAAAGTGCAGGAGGGCAGCCAGATCCTGCAGGAGCGGCTGGCTGAGGTGGACAGGCACGCCTTCCTGGCAGGCATCGCCTCGCTCTCGGAGAGGTACGGGGGGGCGTCGCCTGGCTCTGAGGGCGTACGGGGGGGGGGGTCACCTCGCTCTCGGAGAGGTACGGGGGGGCGTCGCCTGGCTCTGAGGGCGTACGGGGGGGGGGGTCACCTCGCTCTCGGAGAGGTACGGGGG